AAAGCATTTAACCCAGCAACTAGCATGAAGTAAGTGCTCATTAAATTATAACTCCTATCAATAGTTTGCCTCTATCCCTAGTCAGTGCCTTCACATGCAGTTTGTCTCCTCCAAGGAAGGCACAAGGGTGACAGGTAGCCCCAGGAGAGAGGATAAGAAGAAAATGTGATTTGTATAGGAACTTGGTTAGGAGACTTGGTTGACCTGACTCTGCCAGTAACTCATGTGGCTCAATGTTGGGCTCTTCTCTTTTCTGAGCCTCAGTAGTTAGTCTCAACTATAAAATAATTGGGTTTCAGTGAGAGTCTCTGAGATACTGCAACATGGATCTGGAATCACTTTTCTGATGTTTTCTGGGAAGCCCTAGCTGCCTTTAACAACCCTGAAATGAAAAGCTGCCTAATTTTGCCTTGTATGGTGCATATGAGAGCTACACTTTAACCATGGCAGAGTCTGAGAAGGCAGAGGTCCCCTTCATGCCCTAGTAGCAGGAAGGTTTTTCCAGCTACCTCCTGTGCTCAGAGCAATGAAATGGGTGTGCTATGGACTCTGTGACCACTCTTCCTCTCCTGTTTCTGCTGAGTTGCGGAACCCATCATGGACTGGATTATTTCATCCATAAAGCAATTTTACCCCCTGTTCTCTGGATGCATTTCCCACAGACCCTGACCCCACTGCAAGGCTGGCCTCTCCCCTAATCATCTGCCAGCCCCCAACAGTGCTTCTCGTGCAGAGCTGGGCCTGAGTTATCACCTCAAACAGCTTGGAAGCATCTGAGCTGGATTAAATCATGAGACAATTAGCGCTTTTCCCAGAAGCCTAGAGATGGAAACCCTGGTCTTTGCCTTAGAAATGCCCGAGGGTGGGGGCAAGAAGTGGGGAGTGGCAAGAGCAGGACTGTGGAGTCCTAACTAGTACTGTGGGTAAGACCTTAGCTTCCTCAGGCCGACTATCTTCCTCTATAAAATGGGGATATTGTTTGTTGTGGGTTCTCAAAATGCGAAAAAGTCTAAGTCATGAGCTTGGCATCCATTGAACACTCAAAAAAAACAAACTAAAAACTGTTATTATGATTCTCTATCTTGGTTTGGAGAGCTATAAGAACACTATCAATGCTAGAGCTGAACTGTCCAATATGGCAGCCAATATATCAGTGTAGCTCCTTATATTTAAATTTGAGTGATTGCAAATTAAATACAACTTGATATTCAGCTGCCCAGTTACGTGACCACATTTCAAGGACTCCATAGCCACACACGATTATTGCTCAGCATATTGCACAGCACGGTTACGGAACACTTTCATCATAGCAGAAAGTTCTACTGAGCACTGACAGTCTAGAGGGAGTAGAGAACTAATTCTACAGGTTTATTTGAGCAAGAGAGTAGGTTTCACTAGGGCTCACACTAGTTCCCCAGACCTATACCCTGGTTTCATGCAGAATGGGCACTCTTCTCTCTGACTTTTTAGAGTTAGCTAGCAGTGGGCTAAGTTTAGATCCATTGCTTTTGTTTCCAGATTCTCTAAAAGCCCACAAGGATCACCAGGAATTCTCACCACTGGAATGACCTTAAAAGCAAACTTATTCATTTAGATATTACTTAAGGCATTTATGTATGATGGCCTAGTTTGTACACTGAACAATTCTGGGAGTACTCAGAGATAGATCTTATTTTTATTACTTTATCTAATATTTTAAATAAACTATGAAGTAGGAAATGCTATTTCCTTATATTTTACATGTTTAGACACTGAAGCTTAAAAAGTTAAGCAACTTGCCCAAGCTGAAGGCAGCTAGGAACCACTGAAACTGGGATTCAAACTCAGACTCTAGATCCAACATCATTGCTGGCTCCCAGGGAATGAATGAAGTGGGGCTTTATTTGTTCATTTGTTGGTAGTTGGAGGGAATGTGTGA